CTGTCTGTCTGTCTGCAGGGCTGGCGCACCAAACAGCTGCGAGGAAGATGTCAGTGTGTTTAGTGAGTGGATTACTTCTCCTCTTCGCTGGGGTCTGTGTGCGCGGCTCTCCCACCTTACCTGCTGCCCAAGAGGGGCTGGTGTCGGACTGCCCGTCTTGCTCCCTGCCCAGGCTGCAGGAGACCGCCCCCAGCGCCGAGAGTCAGCTGGTGGAAGCCGTCAAGGAGCACATCTTGAACATGCTGCACTTGAAGGAGAGACCCAACATCACCCACCCGGTGCCCAGAGCCGCTCTGCTGAACGCCCTGAAGAACCTGCACGTCGGCAAAGTGCGAGACGACGGCAACGTGGAGATCGAGGAGGAAGCGTCCAGCGGACAAGCGCTCCGCGAGCCCGAGCAAACCTCGGAAATCATCAGCTTCGCAGAAGCAGGTCAGTGCGATCCGTTAATGATAGCGTGTTATTATTGTGGCTCTAAAATATTACCCCCCCCCTCCCCCCCCCCCATCCCCCCAATCCCCCCCATCCCCCCCCCACCACCACCACCACCCACCACCCGCTCTTCTCCAGCAGTGCTCGCTGTTACCTCACTGTTCAGCCCCGACGATTCTTTTTGCTTTTAATTGATCCGTTAATAATCGCGTGTTATTATTGTGGGTCTAAATTCCTCCCCACACACACCCCCCCCCCCCCCCACCCCCTCCGCTGCTGTCCAGCGGTGCTCGCTGTTACCTAACTGCTCAGCCCCCGAGGATTCTCACTGAGCGTTTCTTTTTTTAATGGATCAATTAATAATAGCGTGGGCTGAAACCACACTGATATACAGCGCTCGCTGTCAGCTCACTGCACAACCCTAAGGCTTGTCATTGAGCAGCGCCCCCCCCCCCCCACACACACACACACCCCTTCCCCACTCACACACACACACACACAAAGAAACTATTACGTTCAGAGTCATTTCTGTGTCTGCCAAGTAATGCCCTTCAGACCCCATACCGCCTCCTCCCATCTTTCAGCTCTGCTGTTCACTTCTTAAACCAACAACAACAACAACAACACAACAACTGTTTCACTGAGCGGATAAAAACAACGGAAATGAGAGTTTGAAAGCGGTCTCAGGCGCTGTGGATGCGCTCAGATCACAACACACACACACACACACACACACACACCCACAAATACACACACACACACACAAAAAAGGAGCAGCACTTTTGTAAAGAAAAACTTTGAAAATGGAAACCCATCGCAAATGTAAACATCCCGCTGGTAGTAAGAGGCAACTCTCACGAGGGGAGGTGTTGGCTGCTGTTTGCGACCTGTCAATGCGCTGCACATTTACATCGCTGTGTCTTGCAAATGTCCCTTGTTGATCGTAAGCCAAATGATTGTGTGTGTGTGTGTGTGTGTGTGAGAGAGAGGGTGTGTGTGTGTTGGGGAGGGGGGTGGGTGGGTGGGGGGGGTGCGCAATGTGTAAGTAACACACAATGTGTGTGGGGGGTCCATGTAATGCAAGTCAGGCAGAGGTGAGCGTTGGGATATTGCTGTGTTGCGAGTTGGCTGCAGCATTCGTCCACAAAACACAGTCGCCCTATTTTACAGTGTATGGTTTTGAAGGCTCTTTGAGACGCGTTGACGACGCGTTAAGGCGCTGTAACGGTTATGCAACGATTGCCCGACCCAGACAGGGGTTTGTCTGGTGACTGGATTGATCGGGGTTATTCATTTGGGGTATGTTTTTTTTTTCTTCTTCTTCTTCTTCTCTCTGCTAGGTCCGACCCAGGATGTTGTGCACTTTCAGATCGCGATGGAAGGCGGCCGCGACCTGACCCTGGTGGACCAAGCCAACATCTGGCTCTACCTGAAACTCTCCAACAAAACCAACCGGAGCAGGAGCAAGGTCACAGTCAGGCTGTACCAGGCTGGGCAAGGTCAGGACGGGCAAGCCCTCGTCTCCGAGAAGCAGGTGGACATCAAGAGGAGCGGCTGGCACACCATCCCGGTGTCCAGGAGCGCACAGGCCACGCTCGGCACCCAGGAGAGGTCTCTGGAGCTCAGGGTGACCTGCGAGCAGTGCCCGGAGGCGGGGGTCCGCCCTGTGCTGGCGGAGCCCACCGACAAGGAGGAGTCGCACCGGCCCTTCCTGATGCTCCTGGTGCGGGAAGTGCAGGAGCACACGCACCGCATCCGCAAGCGGGGGCTGGAGTGCGACGGCAAGATCAACATCTGCTGCAGGAAACAGTTTTACGTGAATTTCCGCGACATCGGCTGGAGTGACTGGATCATTGCACCGATCGGCTACTACGGCAACTACTGCGAGGGCGAGTGTCCGAGTCACATCGCGGGCACCTCGGGCTCCTCACTCTCCTTCCACTCGGCCGTCATCAACCACTACAGGATCCGGGGCTACAGCCCGTTCAACAACATCAAGTCGTGCTGCGTGCCCACCAAACTGCGAGCCATGTCCATGCTCTACTACGACGACGAGCACAACATCGTGAAAAAGGACATCCAGAACATGATAGCGGAGGAGTGTGGCTGCTCGTAAGGAAGCCGCGGCAAAAAAAAGAAAACAAAAATAAGGCGGCTTGTGAAGCCTGCGCGTCTCTCTCTCTCTCCCCCTCTCTCTCTCTCTCTCCCCTTCTTTCTCTCTCAAAAACACGCACACGCACGCACACACACGCACACACACACACATGCACACGCACACACATGCACAAGCACTCAAACACATAGCTGCACACGCACACACATGCACAAGCACTCAAACACACAGCTGCACACGCACACACATGCACAAGCACTCAAACATGCAGCTGCACACGCACACACATGCACAAGCACTCAAACACATAGCTGCAAACACACACAGAGTCTCCTCTCGGAGCTCCAAGTGGGGGCGTCCTGAGTTGCAAGGCTGACGTTTCTTTTACAAGAAGGAAAAAAAAACACACCTGCAAATTGTTTGACACACCAAAAACTGTTCCCAAACAAACCAACAAACAAACAAACAAACAAACAAGCAACGTGGATGAAGCTCGCAAGCATCGCAGGCAGCCCAACCCAGCCCAATGTCAGGCTTGCTAAACCTGCTCCCTCTCGCCTCTGTTGGGGACAATTTGGGACCATCACAAGAGAGCGAGAACTTCACACCTAACCAGCCACCTGTACACCCCCAACCCCCCCCCTCCCACCCCCCACCCCACCCTGCTCAGTCTTACAGCCGCCTACACTCAAAGCTGGCTTCTTCTTAGGGACAGGCTTCTCTGCTGCGTTTATTTTCAACGTGACAGATAGACACTCTTTGGCACTTTTGCAGACGAAATGCACAAGATCTCTTATCTGTCAAAGTGTCCAGCTTCACCAAGGTGCACTGTTTTGCAAACCCACTCAACGTGTGTGGTGTGTGTGTGAGGTGCCTAAGATCAGAACTATGCAACCTACAAAAAAGGCTTTCATTGGTTTACCTAAAAGGAGACATTTCTATTGGAAGTAAATATTTAGTTATTTAGTCGAAAGATACTTGAAAGGAATGCGTTGCCCCAGCTGCTGGGTCAAACGCTATTTTTTTTATTTTTTATTTTGCAACGTTTTGAACGTTTACGATTTGCACTAAAATGATATTTGCCTGTCTAACCGTATTTAAACAAAGTATTTGAAAGGATGGGGACTGCACTCAAAGTGTGTGTGTGTGTATAAAAAAAATGTTTCTATGAATTTTTGTATCAACGGACGAACAGACACCAAAGAGTTTTGTGTAAATGTGACATTGTGTGATGTCTGCAAGGACAATATTTAAAAAAAAAAGAAAAAAAAAAGAGATAAATATGAATCCAGTATCAGGGTTTGGTTGAAAAAAAAGTTTGGTTTGATACATTAGCACAAGTGCATCTGGATGTCTGGAGATAAAACATTAACAATCTGATCTGAGCAGATATTCAGATCCCAGGTGTAGTTGCACACTGTCTGAAGCGATTTAGCAAAAAAAAAAGCACTTCCACTTAGTGTGGTCTGCTCTATTCTTATTTAAGATTTTTGTTTTGATCAGCATCTTCTTGACTTAGAGGAAAACAAATCCTGAACTTTTGCTTAAAAATAGTAGGCCTATTTTTGTAACGATGTTGCTGGGGACAATTAAAATGTTACTGAGAAACATATATATTTGTTCTAGTATTTTATGAGATATTGGAACCCTCGATCCAGGCTCCCAGAATAGCTGTCAGCTTTCACCAGGCTTTAAAGATGTGGAAGTAATACTTTAAATATCACTGGCAAATGTAAATGGCAAATTAGTCCTGAACGTTATTTACTTGTGTTGGCTTCCATTGTGCATTTCTCATGTTCATTTTAATGACAATTATGCCAGGTTTTCGCGTTGAAAAATCAAGAAAGAGACATCGGAGTTTGCCTCCTTTTCCAGTGACTGGGTTTAAGTTAAGTCGAGCAGGACTTGTGTGCAGCTCAGTTGCTGCTTTATACGTTCCATTCAAAGTGACATGACTTTTATTTTTGTTTGTCCATCTGCCTTCTGATCCGAAGCCGGACTTAACATAAACAAAAGTGGTCTTTCTTTCCACCCTAAATCGCGAAAGAACCGACGGCTGTTTTGGTGGCTCTTTCCCCCTTGTAATGCTGGCAAGAGTGAGGGTGGGTGGCAGTCAGGAAGCAGATTGTGGGACATGAAGTGCCTGTGACCAGACTCTTGTGTTTTCAATGGGACTTGGGACCAAAAAGAAACTACAACTTCCAGACTGCATCGCTACCCAAATCGCATCCAGTTGGACCCGAGGAAATAACCACTTATTCAACTAGAGGCGTCCAGTGGAACATTCTCAGTTGACTATGAAAGCAGAGACATTTGCGAAGCGAGAGAGTCCTTGTAACCTTTCTGACTCGCTGCTGGTAGCGTCCTTTTGTGGTCTTGTCAGCTGGCGACAGATACATCGTTGAGCAAGAAAAGAGGAGTCCGTTTTATGTGCCTCTTTGGGCTACATGTATTTTTTACACATCCCTCTGTACAAAACCATAAGATACTGTACATATATTTCTTCGATTTGCAATCTTTTATATTGCCCTCAGAGGCAGTTTCCTTTTGTTGGTCTGGACAAGGGTGTTTTTAAGTTTGGAGTGGAAAAGGTTATGCAGTAATGTCAGTCGTCGCATGAAAGTATTATTTAAAATTAACAGATGGCATGAAATAGGAGCTGTTATGCAGTGCAGAGACAATAATAAAAAATAATATAATCCTTACATTTGATATAGCGCCTTATCACGTCTTTGAGACGTCTCAAAGCACTTCACGGAATATACTGTAAAGTGAATTGACTGTATATTTTGTGGGCGAAAGACAATTACTGGAGTAGCATTGATGTTGCAGTAGCACTTTCCCTCGCCGTTTTATGTTTAGCTATTGAAATATATAACTAACAATTCTGTGGTTGTATTATCCCAAATTATTTATTATACAATGAAGAAAAAATCAAACCTATGTTTTATCTCGGCGCTGCCGAAAGACAGCGATTGTTGTTATGAGTCAATCATCCCTCTATTTGGGGCCTTGAGTAGCAGTGGAGTGTTAGCTCAATGACACCAACTTGTTCAGTAAAAATACTGTAATGGGTTTCTCTGAGCACTTGGAACAATGTCATTTGAACCAATGCCCCATTGAAATTCACACAGGGCTTCGACAAATTGACCTCAAAATTCAACATAATGACACATCCATCATAAACTGAATCCCGTTCAGGAAATTATGTGTGGGTGGAAAGGTGGTGGGGGGGGAGTGTGTTCTCATTACATATTAGCCTAATATGATTTCAAATGTAAAATTTATTTATGCACTTATATATTATTTTTTATAATCAGCAGCATTGAGATACATTCAATCTGCTACTTCAGTTTCTAATGTGAAAACAATTATAACTCAACCCAGAACCTTTATTATACTGTAATTCAAAAAAGTGGTACATTAATCCAAAAAGGATAGCAATTCAACAACCAACTCTGTCAAATTATGTAAACAATACAACACTAAAACTTCTCATTTGTAGCACTTATTTATTTTAATATACAATTCCTCTACATTGGCAGATCTGACTAGGATTCCTAAGATGCTGTTCTACGAATCTGTTTACTGGGTAGTTAGTTTCTGTTGCTAAATGGGCCCAGGAGGTCCTTGTCTGCTTCTCTTGTTAGAACCTATCAAATTAGACTCCAGATTGATAAGCAATGGCCGAGAGAAGGTGCAGCTCCACTTTAAAATGTATTGAAATGTATTAAAAACTAATGTGAAATGTTTCATTCACTTGAAGCCTGATGCATACCAAGATGTATTGAATAGATTAGACTTTATTCTAGATGGGAATGGGAGCCAGGAAGCCTAAGGATGTAGAAATATCAGTACAAACATTACAGGCCTTTTTAAAAAGAATATCACATTATTTGTACCTATGGATATATTCCTATTAAGTCTCTAAGTACCCCTTTTAACCCAATCCTTCCCACACATTCGATGCGTTTGCTTTAAAATAGATTAAATGCTGCAAATGATTTTGCAAAGCAGTAAATACAGTACAATTCAGACAGTTCTGCCCGTTAAACCATCACTGTAATCCACAGCTCTTTTATTAACCTAAATATGTGTTCAATGTTATACAGCAGGTATAATACGAACACTGTAACTCTTCCTTTGTTTTAAGTGCATCCTATCTAGACCAACAGGGGGATACTATCTCATTTAATTTGCTGTGCATTTGAAATATAATGCTTTAAAGCAATGTTTGTTAGGCTAATATGATCTTAAATGTAAAATTAATTTATGCACATATATGTGTAAACAGTATGATTTGATCATTTAATATTTATTGTATAAACAGTAAATAAATGTTTATTTTTCAGTTGCATAAAGGGATATTAACATATGTTGCAAACTATTGTTCATGCTGCATGTTGGATGGTGTTTGTGGAATAAAGCTGTTACCAGCAGAAAATGACTTAAAGCACAGATTTACTGAAGTCACTGCATTTCCTGTACATAACCAAAAGCAAACACACCTTCAGTTGAAATAACTAGAATAAAAAAAACACTGACACAGTTCATTTTTATCTCTGCTATTTGTTTAACCCAGGAAATGCAGTCACTTACATTATACTGTGCCAATCATTTAAGAGCGGAACCCCCAAGTTATTTGAATGTGACAAATTGTCAGGGTAATGCTGTCAAATTCTCTTATTAAAAAAAATAACTTGAATCTACAGATTTCTTAAGAAATAATTAGGTTTATCCTTTTGAGTACTGAATTTTCATTTATTTCTACAATTATGTAGACATCAATGTCACATCCACAATAAAGAACAAATTATGTTTTTAAAACTGATGTTTGTTTTATTCCACAGTTTGTGGAGAAGTGACCCATTCCAACAGTTAACTAAAAGACTAATATTAACTCCACATTACAGAAACCAGAAGTACATCACAACAATACTTAGGTATTTGACCTGCTCTGGTGCAATCTATAGGTGAAGTGACATGCCTTTGGTTATTGGAAGGAATCGCCATTCACGTTTCGTATTAAGGAATACCACTGTGTATTAGACACCCATTGA